AGTACATAATAAAACCATTTTCTATTGACAGTCTTTGGTTGTAGCAAAACACAAGTAAGTTTAGAATAACAATCATTCTCTTATCTTTTCTCAAATGATAAATACTTTTGCTTTTAAAATGACTTATTTACAGTAGCACCATATAACATTAATTGTGTTAATGATCTTTCTATTTTAACTAATTGTAATAATGACATTTTGATTACAAATGATATATTTTTATTGCAATTATTTAAAAATTGTATATGAAGCTATGTTTATTTGAGCAAAATATTGATTTTTTTTGTATGCATATTTCATTGACACAGGTAAAGTAGGTCTAAAATGGACATAAATTACTCAGAACATTTTAATTCAGTTTTTCATTCAAAGATTTGGAGACTTCCTTTTAGCCTTTAACATGGAAATGTAAAGATTCTTAGGATAACTGGGTCAGTTACACATGATGTTATGAGGAATTTGACTTGTTTATACTTGTTTAACTTACCTCAATCTTCCTATATAGGGCCTCGTCTCAGAGCTTTGTCACTTTCACAAAAAACTTCCTTCATTGACTCTGACAATTATATTTAGGCTTAATTTTGCAACTACATAAACTCATCCTGTAGTGGTAGGCCCTAAATTGTGGGTTCTTAAATTTGGTTCATGTGATTTTATTTGCTTTGTTTTTAGTAGTTGGTATGAAATTGACAATAGAGAATAAGTTAGTACGCACTTGCATTCTCTTTTCCATATGCTAGCTTTCTGTTGATGTTTAAATACTTTAGCCTGATAAATTGAAAGTAAAAAACCATTTCTGTAGTAAACGTGTTAGAAAGTTACAGCTTATATTTCCTTATGAGTGAAAATAGAAAGTTTCCATGCTGAAAAATTGCCATGAATCAGATATTGCAAATTTGTAGTTTCTCCCTATTAAGCGAGCCAGAAATTAAATATACATGAACATTATAGTCTCACTATCTATTTCAAAGAGAGAAGAATAAAGAATAATTATCCTGAAAGGTATGTTAGAAAATGCATGATGTATCTCATATAATCTGGCTTAAATTTCAAGATAGCCAGGAATATGAATATTTTAAAATTAAATTTGTAATGCTTTCCATGTAATGTTTAAAAATCTACTATGCCAAGGACTTACATAATATACTAAACCACATTGTATCATGTGTTGATGTAATGTTACATACTAATGGTTTTTTTTTTTTTTTTTTGCAAAGTTTTAGTTGTTTCTCTAATGACATTTTAAGCACTTAATGTAATATTTTCCTAAACGACTACTCGTCTCCATTTTCTCATTTTAGTATTTCAGTAGATCGCAGGAAGAAAATTTGAGTATTATTACAAGGAAACTCTGTTTATGTGACTTTTTAACTGATAATATTATGTATAGCACCAAAAACAAATACCGGAAAAAAGTTGTACACTTGACGCTATTTTCATTGTTACATAATATTAATAGCGTCCAGCCTGGGCTATAGGGCAAGACTCAATATAAAAAAAATAGTCAAAATATTTTAGGCACTGTTTTTGGGTCTTTAAATCACAGACTATGAGAAGATTATATTGTCTTAGTCTCCAGACTATTAACAGTGCCTAACAAACACTCAGCATATGTTAGAGGAAGGTTGCCAAAATCAATTTGTTTGCCAAGCCCCATCAGTACAGATATTGCAATCAGGTCTTCAACATATATATATTTTGAACTTAAAACCTATAGAGCACTATGAAACTATTAAATTATATACAGTATGAAACATAAACAAAAATACATGGAAAAATGAAGATAAAATCAACATAAATGAACTAGGTTTTGCTGACTTTGCTTAGTAGATGACTATGCTAGATTAATAAGACCAGTCAGGTCTTCCTGTACACATGTCGTCTAAATCCCCACTTAGCCCAGTGACAGATCTTCCAGAAAACTGTAAATAAATAAATACAATTCCCTTTGCACTTCAAAAACCAGTCATTCTATTTCATTCTATTTCTGCGTGTCTAGAAATTCTATAAGGACTCAGAGTTTCCTCTCACTCACAATATTTTACCTTCATTACCTCAACATACTTCTCTAAATCTTGGTACCCATTCCACACAAAAGGGATCTAATAATTAACCAACTATATAATGTTATATTCCAAGCAAGGCACTGTCAATAATTAATAAGTACACTAGAATAACAGGCATAACAATATTTTTTTACTGGGAAAATAATGTCTTATTTTTATCCCAGCAATAATGGTTATTATGAGGTATAAATAAAATAACCACCCTCTCAACTGCATATCACCTGATAGCCTTTGTTTATGCAAAAGTTACCTATACATAATTGCTTAAAGTTCCTACTAATTAGTATAGCACTGTCTTTATCTCACTAAAGTTCCTACTAATTAGTATAGCACTGTCTTTATCTCACTCAAATGTTTCTCAATAGAAACATTTGGTTTTGTCATTTTATAAATATTTTCATCTTTTTGAACTTTTTAGAAAAATAATTTATTTTTAATTGACATGACTGTATATATTTATTATGTACAACAAAGTTCTGACACACAATTGCATCACATACTTATCATTTTGTGGTAAGAACAGTCAAAATCCACGGTCTTAGTAATCTTGAAGAATACATGACATTGGGATTGACTATATTCGCCCTTTTTTACAATAGATCCCTTGAACTTAAAATCTTTCACATAATAACAAAAAACATTTTGAAAATAATTGAATTAAATAGGTCTTTTAATTCCTTGCGTTTTTGAAAAGTGCCAAACAAGAATTTGTGCAGAGGAGAATTGTGGAACATTAAAACAAAAAATCTCAAAAACACACCACAATAAAATTGCTAGTAGGGACCAGTTTAGTGAATAATTGCAAGGGAAACAATTCAGTGCTTGAGAAAATGAAGATTATTATTATTTTTTTTTACTAATTCAATTAAATGACACTATAGAAACAAAAGAACTACTTTGTTTTTTCACTTTTATTTATGCTTCAGTTGTAACAGCGTTACATATAATTTTATTAGGCCACGTTAATGGTATCTGACACTGTTTAGTGCATAATCCTTGTACTTTGTAATGTTAACTGCATAACTTCTTGGGGTGAGACGTATATCAGGTCAGAAGACAAGACTTGGTTGTATTGAACACACTAAACTGAAATGAATGGGTTTTGAGTTATCAAGTATTAGAATATATTTAATTTAATTAATTTAAGTTTAAATTGAGTTCATTTCTCAGCAAAATTTTTAAGAGTATAGTTAATTAGCTAAGGTCCAAATTTGCCAGTTGATTCTAATTTGATGAGGGATTTCTTCCAGGCTCTTAATTGCTATATTTGCCTTTTGAAAATTATAAATTCAAAGTCTGAAGAAAGCCGCTAGCCAATTAAATAAATGCTTTACAGAGAAAACATGTATGAACGAGAAACATTATTGGAACTCTGTGTGTTATTTTTTAAAAAATAAAAATTGTGTGTGATAACAGAACTGTAGTTATGTTTTTCAGATATCACTGGAAGTTCAGTAGGAAAAAGTCTCTGCTTATTGAAAAAGAAGACATTCTATTGAATAAAAGTGTTACAAAATAGGAACATAATTCTTTATCAGAGTGGGAAATTTAAAGGATACCTTATCATTTCAATTCATAAAATGCAACTACTGTCAAAAATATCTTGCCTATGTAAAAGTTCTTCCTGAAAGATACATGGCAGAAAGCCATTTTAAACAGTCTCTGCTGACATTTAGGGAAAATAGTGCTCTACTAAACAAGGTAGTACATCTAGCTGTTTCAGTGTATTGTCTAAATTATCATAGTAAGACTAGAAAACTTTACAATTCTTTCCATGAAAATAAATATGTACCTTTACATTTACATTTATCCAGAAATCCTGTTCATATTTCTATGGGGAAATTTTGGATGAAGAACAATTTCCTTATTTGGATTATGTGAATTTGAAGTAAACTATGATGAATTTATTAATTACAAGCAATTTCTCAAGAAAATAAATCTTAAAATGAAGTATTGCCTTATTCTGATATATTCATTACTATTAAAATTTTAGGTTTGGAGCTGTGGCTCACGCCTGTAATCCCAGCTCTTTGGGAGGCTGTGGCGGGTGGATCACCTGAGTCAGGAGTTCAAGACCATTCTTGCCCACATGGCGAAACTCCATCTCTATTAAAAAAAAAATACAAAAATTAGTCAGGCATGGTGGTGTGTGCCTGTAGTCCCAGCTACTTAGGAGGCTGAGGTAGAGAATTGCTTGAACCTGGGAGGCAGAGGTTTCAGTGAGCTGAGATCCTGCCACTGTACTTGAGCCTGGGCGACAGAGAGATTCCATCTCAAAAAAAAAAAAAAAAAAAAAAAAAAATTAGAGTAACGGAGCTGATGCCAAAGGCATCTGAGTTATTAAAGATTGGAGAATTTGAAATTATTGTTCAAATGCAATGAGCTAGTGTAAATTATTAGGTTCAAAGTTAAATAATTTTGTATTTAAGTATCATTATTTTATTTGTAAATACTTTCAAAACCCTTCTAATATAAATCTATATATTATAGTGGTTGCTATTCTGAAATTTTAGTGAATTTTCCCCTGGTATATAATTTGCAATAATAATCTAAAAATACATTAATTGGCTCCTTAGCTATTTAAATTAAGATATGAAAGATAGTATATAATAATGATTAAGATTTTTAATTCTTAATTCGGACAACCTTTTTTTTTCCAGAAAATCTTAAAATCTAATTCCAACAATTTAGTATCTGTGTAAACTGAGGCAAGTTTCTTAACCTTTCTGAATTTAAGTTTCTTTATCAGTAAAATGGGGCTAATGATAATGCCCAAAGCAAATTGTTGCTTTGAGAATTTAAAGAAAAAAAAAATGTACACTTAGCCTAGTGTCTGACATAAACAATTCTCATTATCTTTATGATGTTCAATTTCTTTCTTTCTTCTTTTTTTTTTTTTTCTTCCTTGAGATGGAGTCTCACACTGTCACCCAGGCTGGAGAGCACTGGCGCAATCTCGGCTCACTGCAACCTCCGTCTCCTGGGTTCAAATGATTCTCCTGCCTCAGCCATGATGCTCAATTTCTAATACTGTAAGTGGTGTTCTAGGTTCTTCTTTCATTCCTTCCTTGCTTTCTGGTAGGATTTCACCTTTGCTATCATCAGATGACTCCACATGTTTTTTATTCTGATACATCTCTAAGCAGTCAGCTGTCCCATGATTGTTTAAAGTTGCGTTGAAAACAACTAGTCTTTTTGGTTCATGGGGTGAAGAGCTATGAAGAGACACATTTAGACATAATGCCACGGACCATGCCTTTCTTAGAGATCCTGAACTTTGAGCTGGATACAGTGACTGGATGGGAATTGAGGTTCTGTGTCTCAGGAAGAGGCTGGTTGCATTCTTTACACGGGAGACATTCGAGACATTTCTGATACTTGGTGCCAAAAAAGAGGAATGTGGCAGAGAATGATGACTTGTTTACTATGCCCATTGCCCTTTCTGTCTCATAGCCTTTCTTACAGATGGGAGTGGCCATGGACAGAATTTTGGCCCTTTCAATCTGGGTTAAGTTATTCTTAGGCTGGACACTTCCAAGTCTGACCCATAAATAATCTCTCTCTCTTCCCACACACTGACTGAACCTGTGAGTTCAGTGGGTATTAGAATCACTATTTGGAATGAAGTAGGTCAGCAAGTCACCACACACAAAGAGTCTTCCAGAAGAACTGTCTAATCTGGAGCATATATGTTGGGTGACTTCATTATGTTAATCACTGACATCTTGGGGTTGTTTGTTACAGCATTGTAACTAATACACATTCCAAATAGGGCAACATTTACTCTGTGGTCTATAAAATGAAAAGAATTATTCAAAAGATATATAAATAACATGTGTAGAAGCAGAATATATAGTTTAAGACAGAGGGAGTAGCAAGTATAGTAGGCAAGAGGAGAGAGATAGAAAGAGATAGAGAAAGGGGGGGGAGAGAGACAGAGAGAGAGAGAGAGAGAGAGAGAGAGAGAGAGAGATGACCTATTTCAGCAACTGCAATAAGCAGTCTCTCTATACCCATATTAAACTCCTTCCTACTTTCCTCTCGTTTACTGGAATCCAACCACAACTAGCACTCTCAGTTCCCCCAAGAAACCAATCTGTTTTCTGTTGCAGGACCTTCTCAAATGTTGTCTCTCCTGCCAGAAATCTCTTCTCCTGAATGTTTGACTAACTCCTATTTACCTCATGTATCTTTAGAAAAATATTTTCTGAAAATACAATAAAATTAGACCCTTGTTCTTAAATTATTTCATAGTATCTTGTTATTTTCTTAAGTCATCACAATTTGTATTCATTAAATACTATGTATATTAAATTTTAATATATCTGTCTACTCTATCATGCATTAAACTGAATGAAGGTTTATTTATCATTGAAAAATACTTGGAACATAACATGTACAGAAATATTTAGTGAATGGATTTATATAACATGAAAATAGAAAGTAAATAAGGGAGAGTTTTTATAACTTGTTTGTTAGCACTTTATCTTGTGGACAATTGAGTGTTCTGAGTGGTTTTAAGCGATGGGTTGATATCATCCAATTTGCCTTTCAGAAAGATTACTTCATTTGGAAAAGGATTGAGCAAGGTAGAGTAGTGTGGTGTTAGGCAAGTGTAGGGACAATTGTCTCTGTAATTTATGAAATAGATAAAGATAGTATTAATCAAAGAAGTATGAGTGAGACTCAAAAGCAAAGCATGGGACTGAAAGATGCTATGAATGCCAGCCAAATGGAGAAGACAGTACAAGCTACTGATGAAACAATGTTTGGGAGAAACACCCAACATTATTCTTGGTTCCTTATAAGCTATGTAAATTTCATCAAATAGCTTAAATTTTCTGTAGTCTCAGTTTTGTCATCCAAATAAATATGTGTTTTCTTTGTCAGTTCTCAAACTTTTATGCCAGCAGTCAATGAATGAATAAAATTATCAGCAATACTATAGCTTCTTTGATTGAATCCATGAGTGGGGGAGTTCAAAGCCTCAAACCCCTAAAGTTCTGTTCTTGTTACTTTTCCTGAGAGCTCACATTGATATCTGAGGAACTTCTGGGATTTGAGGGCCAAAATGTAAAAATAATTGTACTCCTGGAGATCTACATTTGGATGACATGGATATATCTCTAATTGAACTGTTAATCATATTTCAAATCAGTTTTTCTCTAAGACTGTGCTTTTTCAGTTATCCTATTAATTTTTTATGCTTCATTGATCCACTATTTACTAATTGCTCCTAAATCTACTATCTCCTTCTCATATATTTTGTGTATGGTGTAGCCATCACCATTAAGATGGCCCACTAGGCTGTCATATTTAGTAAGCCCCAAATTAAACTCCACATATAATCTCCATCTGCAAACCTTTTCCCCATCTTATATTCCCTCACCTGAGTGATTTCCATTAACAACTCTCCAGCTCCCTCTTTGAAAAACTCAAGAAAGTCCTAGACTCCTTTATCTCTTTTTATATCTCTTTTATTTATATTTAAGAGGTAAGACCAAACCTTATTCTCACAAAAATATCTTGATAATAGTTATAATGATTCAACTAATCAATTAAGTAATCTTTAATGCTGCAAAAATATATTAAACCAATCAAGTAAAATAATTTATAAGAAGATAGGAAGACAAGAAGTTTCTTGTAAATCCATTTTAAAGACTAACAAAAGAACGACAAGAAAAATCAATCAATCAATAAGACCAAAGATAAAAGAAAGCCTGAGAGAGCGTTAAGCTACAAAAGTCTGGAGAAGAGAGAGCAGTCAATTCTGTAAAATATTGCAGACAATGAGGCAGACAAGGACTGAAAGGGAAACATTAATTTAGTAACAAAGAGGAGGTAGAATTTACTAGTGAGAGAAGTTGCTAGAGTCCTGGGCATAGAACTCAGGTTTCATTGGGTTGAAAGGCAAGCAGGAGGTGAGAAATGATAGGCATCGATACCTCACAGGAGTCTTGGCCACAGACGTGAGGGTAACAAGTCACCGTATTTCCGAGCCTCACTTTTCTCATCTGTTCAATTGTTGTGATAAATACCTTGTGTTCTGCACAGAGATTTTTGTAGGTTGGGAGGAAAGTGTGGGTGGCACTAGACACTTTTCAAATCACTCTTAAATCCTTGAAAATAAGTAAAATTTCTATGTGAAGTAACCAACACCTAATAATTGTCAGTTACTTATGTTATAATATCTATTTTATATTTTAAAAACAGTGGTCTATTTGAAGCCAGGGTATCTCTTATTCATTTTTACATCTCCAGTCCCTAACACAGTACCCAGTACATAGTAATGGCATAATAAATATTGCTTTGTGTCCCCCAAACTGAATTTTGGCATGTAACTTAAATTCTATGCAAGTAAGGGTAAGTGGTTTTAATTCCAAAAAAGATACAGAAGAAATAGAAAAATAAAAAAAATAGAAGATATAAAAGTGGATGCCATTCAAAAAACAATCCAGCATGTCTTTTCCTTTTTTCTCCTTTCCACAGATAGAGGCTTAGTAGTTCACTAAACCCAAAACTAGTATATGATCTGTCTAGTTTTTAGTTAATTAACATTTACTTTGTGTAAAGGTATCTACAGGAAGACACTGTTAGACAGTTTCCTCAGTCTACAAACCAATGATTACATCTAATGAACAAAATACAGTGGTAGTTGTTTAAAGAAATATTCTAAAAACCCAGAATGATATTAGCACACTACTTGCTATATGAAGAATGAGATTAAAAACTCAGAACTAACCCGCTTCTATGTAACAGCTCTAATGGAACAGAGTATAAAAAGTAATCAAATTTGGAACATATGCAAAATCCTTAGAGTTCACTGGTTTCAGACATAATAATACATGCCAAGTTATATTAATGAGAGATTAAGTATTGTGTACTTGGATTCTTTAAATTATCCTTTGCCTAATTTAGTTTATGTTTGAGTTCCATTCCCCTGCTCATATAATTTCCCTTGTGCTATGTGGAACAGAATGGCCCAGGTAGATAGTATTTTATCCATCAGTAATATCGCATTAATCCAAATGAAACCCATTTAATCCCTAGGGTAGTGAGTCAAGTTTAAGGGACCATTGTGCATTGCTCAAATTAAGAGAAATAAAGAAGAGAGGTACCATGGTGCATAAAATTTGCTGAAGTCCTAAATGTTGATGGAAACAAAATACAAAATAATATTATTTTGAATCTGCACCAGCAGACCTGGCATGGCTCCTCAGTTCACAAATGGAACTTAGGTTTTTGCAGTAGTCTGCACGGATTTTGTATTAAAATTGCGCTTCAATGTTTATAGAGAAGCATATGGAATCAGAACAATTTTCCCTCCCAAAATAGGTGAAAGACAAGTTTAGGCATAAAATGATGGGACACGTGTTCTACAAAGTTTAACAGAAAGTATGTGATTAACTTTTCACCAAGGCAATGGAATTTCAGTTTATATCTTTTATAAAAAGAATCCAAAATATTCTAAGTATTTGTATTCAGTAACAGCTACTAGTGATGCTATACTTCAGTTGTCTTTGGCCATTTCTCTGTCCCTTTCTCATGGTTCTGGATACTAATAGTCCATAATTCTACTCCTCTTTGGAAGAACTGCCCTCCTTCGACTGGAGTCACTTTCCATACATTTGCAGAGAACTGGATGTGTCTGAGTTTTCATCTCTTAATTCAAGCTCACTTGCCTGAAGATGGGACAATGGACAATGCTTAGGGATAATTTGCACTTCACAGATTCCTTGTAAGATTAGGTTAAAGGAATGATTGGCCTGAAGTCACTATCTTGCTTGTTTTTCTTTTTCTTTCTTTATTCTGGTTCTCTTTATTTCTTACCAGTTTCTCCTGAAAACATTTCCTTAATTCGTAACTTTCATACAAATTATCTCAAACCCATTTCTGGGGAATCCAACATGAGGAAGATAATGTGCAAAAACACTTCTGCACAAAAATTAGTTTATTTTAGAGTTGTCCAATAAATAATCTGTTTGCTGAGAGAAAATGTCTATATTCAGTGAATTCATTAAAAATACATTTA